CAGCTCCAACTGCGATCCCTACGCCGTGTGTGGTGCCATCGTCCGCACCTGTCTGCTCAACGAGTAGGCGGTAAATGGGCGAGGGGCGCAAAATCTTTTGTACATAGTATATTATTGAACTTTGGAGCGTGTCCAATCTGTTGGCTACTTTTCCATTCAAGTGGAGCAAAATTTAGTTTGCTTGTGCAAAAAAGACAGGAGAACGAGGCACGAGAAGCGTGCGTTTAGCATTTAAGAAGTGGGTGGGTGGCAAGAAGAACATAACAGGAAGGAAAATTGAACCTGAAAGCGATGGGGGCCCCAATTAAATTCTGCCATAAATATTTTACAAATTATGTATACCTTATCGTTGCTTTAATCTAACTAATAAATAACATTGTACCCTACGTAAATGCACTACCTTTAGATCAAAACCAAAATGATCTGGTTAGACGTCGCCTTTGGCCGACACGATTTGTAGACTTAAAAGTTTTGACCTCACTTGTTGATTAACCCGCCAGGGTGTCCAAATGTATTGTTAAAGAACGGAATATCACTGAAACTCGACTATACCTATCTTAATCATTCATATCCAAACGCACGTACATTTGAAACGTAAATTGTGTTAAACTAATTGTTCAGTAGAAGTTGTTAAGTACAAACTGAAAGAAAAGAAAATTGGTACACATAAGATGCTTCTGATCTGTCGTATCTCACTGTTCGCTAGCATTTTACAGCACTCTACATATATGTGCTTATATTATAAATGTCTCTATAGTACAAGCACCCTGAAAATTAAGAATTCCACTGCGATTCAAATAAACATTTCGAGTAAAAGCAAAGTTGCAAAAATACAAAACAAAACCCATTACTAAATGCTATTTTATTTGCTCTTTTCTGGCGAGCTTTCAAACGCGTCTCGCTGCAATTGTTGTGAAAAGCGGAATTTTAAAATATAGAACAGCTTGTTTGTAAATAAATGTGACATGGGGGCACGAAAACGAACTAAAGCAAGACCTTGTTTTCAATGGAAAGTTTTCCACCACAACCAGCTGCCTGACACTGAAAGTTTCCGAAGATTAATGCTCGCGATCCGCGCTGAGAATATGTGTGGTGTGGACGACTACATATAGGCCTGAAAGTAAGATATGGCCCAGCGGGAGGGAATGTTCCCGTTAAAAGCCGATGGGTTATGTATTGGGTCAACTGATAAGGCAGGGGAAAGGCCCTCGACTGATGACAGGCCACCACATCCCATAACAAATAACAATCAAATATTGATTGAGCAGAGTCGCGAACTTAATCGCCCCAAAGGGTGCTCGTTCACTCATTTCCCCTGTCCTTCACGTACCTGTGTTTTAAAAACACTCTTCACCTTGCAGCCGCACACTTACAAAATGTTCGCTTACTTTGAGAATTAGCCCTACAATTGTTTTTAAGAAAGTAAACATTTGTTTAAAATTAGTAGGATAATCTTTATTTTTGACAGATAACTTTCATTATATTTTAGTATACAAAATTATTTTTAAAACCAATAAATGTTTTTTTTTTATTCTCCAAAAATGTATTTGTTTTAAAATTTAAGTGTTCATTACTTACGCTGACTTTTCGAAATGGTTTATTTTTTATGAGTGCATTTGGCATGAGCGTACTCGTAGTTGTTGACATTCTGAGGTGCAGTTTGCGGTGCTTGTTTGCCGAGGCTCTGCTGGGCGCGGATTACGGATTAAGGGACATGCAAGTGTAATGGGGTCGAAAGCGAAAGATAAGGCTGTCCGGTTTGTTCAAAACAATGTTGAATACACAGATACAGTTGGCCCCACCCAGCGTGACCGAAGGGTCAAGGGATCACCAGTTGTCCGAAGATACCGATAGCCCCATCAATAAGGTTAGAACACATTCCTCTGCCCAATTCCTAACCGAATATATAATATACCCGATCTCCACTGCAGCAGGTGAGGCCAAAAGGTAGATAGTATATTTTAAAATATCATAAACAATCGACATCAAGACACCAGCCTGTTATGGCCGCAGAACTTGAGAGTTCCGCCCCGCTGAACATAGACCAGATCGTTAATGAATTGAATCAGGTTCATTGGTATGCATGAAACTAGTTCGAAGATGTCAACATCTTACAATGCAGGTCTGATGAGATCCAGTTATGCTGCCCAAGACCAGGCGATTTGCATAAACGGAATGATAAGCTTCCAGCGAAGAACGCAATCTTATCGGCTAATCAACGGAACAATGATAAGTGAGCTCTATAAATAGTGGGGTTCTGCCAAAGCCTTGCATTCTTAGGCTCGTAAAAAGTTTTGGTAACGATCCAATCGATCGTTGGCGGATTATACCTAATTTAAAACAAATATTATGCAACCAATCTAATTTGCACACTGATAAAAAGGTCGAGTGGCGGTTCATCAAACATTAGCACATAATTTGAATAAAACAGTTTATACGAGCGGCGTTTAAAGTCCGAGCCAACTGATAAGACAGTCAGGCCACATATTTGGCCTTCCTGGCTGACCAGCGTTTCCCATTATCTTCTGGGTGCCTGGGTGCCATTTAACTCGGTCAACAGAATGACACCGGCTGTGTAGCCTTATCATAGGGCCATAAATCATACCGGCTGCGGATGGCGAAAAGAAAAGTTGTCGCTGCGAGGAGGCAAATGCTTGTGAAACTTAATTGATGTAATCAATGTGTGGGTTCCGCTTATAGCGAGGGAATCATTCCACGCACACCCCTGAATGTTTATGCAAATAAATATAGATACCCACTAAGAATGGGGCAGGGAAGCAACACGGCTGTGGAGCGTGATCTTCGAATGCCCCGTCGCAGAGTCTACAGTGGGACCCAGAAGAAAGTCCCCCTGCAATGCCGATTGCGAATTAAAATTTCCAGAATCCGAAACTGGGTCAAGAAACCCATTCGCCCTTGCGGCGGGGGGCAAGTCGGAAAACCTACTGATAACACCGGATTTACGGCCGCAATGCTGGGCGTACACGTCACTGAGGCAATAAAAAAACAGCGAAACAGAGCAAACCTGTTTATGGAGCTGCAGGTGAAGTAATCGTTGCTGGGGGCATTGTTTATTTTTATGTGTGTTGTTTCAATTGGACCGAACCAACTGCCTGTTGAGATTACGTTTTATGGCGCTACTTATAGCCCCGGCAATCATAATTGATGGCTCGATCAGAAATATATGGCCAGCACTCTGGGTGATTATAAAACCTGTCAACTTCATGCAGATATAGACATGGCCGGCCATTGCCATGTCCTGTGACCGATGTCCAACAATTAATCGGTCACGTACCGCCTTGCTGAAAATTCGCTAGGATTTGTGGTGTTTACTTGGGGCGAGCGATTCCTCCTTTTTATCTATGGCGCGTGTCGATATCGTGGGGGTCTTGCGCCAGCCAAAGCAGACAGCCAGCAAGTGCTGTCTTTTATCTGGCCTATTTATCTAATTTCACACTGCTCACGCCATTCGCAGTGTTTTGGTCGTGATGGGCGGCTATATTTAATCCGCGGTGCATATAGAAAGAATTCTGGAATGGCCAACTGAATCACCCGAAAGCAGGGACCGACTGCGTGTTCCCACCTCCAGAGTCCAGAGCGGCCGAAGATCTTCCGCCCCTAATTTATGGCCCCTATTCCTTTCTTTAGACTTTTACTTTCTCTGTCTGCCAGCACACGCGATTCGCAATATTTGCGTCATCGCCACACGCGTCTACCAAGTGATCCGCGATCTTTTCCTTGGCTTTTTTGGCGCATCGAACCAGACAAAGTTCAGTCCCCCGGTTCCTGAGGTAATCGCCGCCGAGGAACCGATGACGGACATAGACTCAGCCAAAGGTCGTCTTCTGTGGCCCACACACTCATTGCGCATTATTTTAATTTGTAATTATTATTAATTGTTTTTTCTTTATTGCCAAAACTGCGGTTATGTTTCTGTGCTATCTGTTAAGTGACCCGCTTTTATTTGACAAATGAGATTAGAATCGATGAACTATGCTCGGTTCGAATACATGTATTAATGGATGAGAATCCGCAGAGATTATAGAGTTGAGTAAACAAAACTCCCCCTTTTTGTTTTTGTGAAAGTCGGTTGATAAGGGCTTCTCGATAAGCCGGCCACATTTATACTGAGAGTTGTTTACCCAGCCTGCATCGGACTTAAATGATAACTTCGTCTGTACGTTTCGGTTTTTCCTGCATAGTATTCAAGCAATTTAAATGAACTGATTTTATCTCCACATATATGAACCATTACGGGGCGACTTTCTTTGTTTGTTTGGGGACGTGCAAGCAATTTCAGTTCGTTCACCCGTTGTCCATCTCCCTTTACTCGATTCATTGCTCATTAGCCAGCCCGAAATTATTTGGGAAGACCTAGTAAAATTCTGACAGATAGCAGTCTCTCCATATTGACCCGGCCTTGTTTCAGTCGATGATTTAATTATAACTAATTATGTTTGGTAAAATGGACGAATTTAAGGACATGCTTATGACGGGAACTTCAGTCAAATACAGAGACAATGCAAAAAGAGCACTAAAAGTATTTAATAATGTAAAGTATTTTGTGCCGCAAAAAAATCACTTATTTGTATACCTTTATGAGTTTGTTTATAAACTCCCTACTATATCTAAAATATTTAATTTTGATGATAGCCAACTTTTTAAATTATTTTCTTGTTCGATTTTTCTGTATTGTAAGTGATGAGATCACTTTCAGTTCTTCTTCTGTTGTGCAATAGTCCTTTTTACAACCCATTTTCCCTAATGTTAATGGCTTGCAGATTTACATTTGTAAACCAATTGTCTCTTTTTTTTTTTAGTTTAGCTATAGTTTTTTTCCAGTACTCGCGAGTATTTTACGTAAGTATTAATATATCACAATTCAAAAGTATGGAATACTTTTTGTGGTACATATTGTGTAGTATACTAACGGGCTAATGGAAATTTGATGGAAAGACCCCCTTTTAGATTTGCAGCTGCTGATTTATTTCGAGGCTTGTTTATTCATTGGACCCACAAGACTTTTTGATTACCTTTCCTGTCATGAAATAGGTGGACAGTGGCCTCAGCCGGCGACCACGAATTTCCTCGAACAATCCGCCCTTCACGGAGAAGGAGTGCTTAGGTTGGTAGAGGAGGCTCAGAAGTGGGTTCTTGGGGCTGACGCGCATGTTGTTCATGGCGTAGGTGCCCTTGACCAGCGGACAGCTCAGCGAGTAGTTACTTTGCTTGAGCATGTTGTCCTTGGCGGGCTTGAAAAGCGGCACTGCGTTGAACACGTTCTGCAGATCGCACAGCTTGGTGGAGGCGTTGTATATGGTGCGAGCCTTCTCCCGGCCGGAGTGCTGGAGGATCAGGATGCGGGAGACCGGGGAGGCGATCTCCTCGTTGATGGTGGTGACAGAGCCGATGCCAGACTGGTTCGAGAACGTCATGTTTACCACAAACCGCGGTCGGTCATCCGTCCAATTGGCGTAAGTGAATGCCACATAATAACAGCTCTGACCAGAATACTCAAATAAAATACGAATTTTTTGTAGATCCTTCTCAATACAGACCTCCTTGCTCTTTGACTCCCGGAGCTTCAGCAGCACCATCCAAGCCGTGATGGTCACTACTGTTCCCCACGTAGCGCGCATTTTCCCAAGACTGACAGCCATTAAATCGGCATACTATTTTTGGAGCCCAGCTGAGAGAATAATAAAACAATTAGGCCGCTCCATCAATTTCCCATTAGTCACTTAGAGTTCGCCAATAGATCAAGATCGATTTATTGCCCTAGTACAAAATGTCAAACTTTTGAGCCAAGTCCAAAATTTTGCTTAGTTTTCGGCCTATGCGCTCCGATCCCGAATTCTTCAGAACATCCGAAAGCTGGCGGTCTTCCTCTGACTCGCTGACCGCACTGTCGGCCAAAATGAAGCGCGTCATGAAGATGGCGTGGGGAACTTGAATATACGCCACCCGCTTCACCTCCTCTCGGAACCTGTGGAACAGCAGTCAATTGGCACTCAATCGTCTGGAGATTGATAACTTATCTTACTTCTCGAAGGTGTGATCCTCCAAATCAGCTCCCACACGGCGAAGACAACACACAAAAGCCTCGAAGTAGACTTCCAACATGTGTTCAAATTGTATCTCCAAGATAGCCGTATCAACGCTTGATAACAAAAACGAGATTATGTCATGCACCACGGAATCGTACTGGGCCGTTTGGAAGTCGATAATTTTCAGCCCCACGGGTGTTCCTGCTGGCCCTAAAGATTTCGGAGTAAAGTGTTTTCTCTTATCTTTTAACGCATGCATAAATGTATAAAAATGAATCCCTATTCGGAAAGTCACGCAATGAGTTGGGAAAAACTTTGCCAATAAAATTAAATTAAAATATGTCAAGAATTTAGGATCAGATATCTGACCATTTTTAAAAAAATCATTAGATCCTAGTTTAAGAAAATAGGAGTAATTTTAAGCTAATTAAGCTGTGATACTGACCGTAACGAAACATGAGATTATTTATCCAGAAGTCACAGTGGATAATGCTTGTGAAGGGACCATCGGGTCTCTCGGGGGCGGCGGATAGGAATTCGAAAAACTGATCTGATAACTCCTTTACACGGGCTAGCAGCTTGGCGTCGTTGTCGGTGGCTCGTCGAACGTCCTCCAGGGTCTCCGCCTTCATTACGGCCTTCCACTCGGGCGCCGCGGCATGCCAATCAAACTTTTCAAGGAAGGGTCGAACCCGATCCCGGAAAACCTCGGGCCTGAGAAGTCGTAGGGCCAGAGGAAGGGCGTGGAACTCAGCCATGTATCTCAGGGCTAGAAGCGTGTGGGGCAGGTCGTAGGCTATCAACCTCTTCCCGGAAACGTAGCCGCTGCTCCGCAAGTTCTCCAGCACCAGTACGGCATTCTGATCCACCTTTAAGGAATCGGAATCCAGGGACACGCGAGAGCCGTAATAGCGGGAGAACCCGCTGAACTGCCTCTCCGCGGGGATGCCTGCTTCATCTTGAAGATTGGCCAGGGCAGGGGCCAAAATCTTGTAGACGGCGTTTTCAGTGAGGCAGGTCCGCTCGGGCTGAAAGAACTGCCAGTACTTGGGGTCAGTCGGTGGCACCTTGGCCACTAGCTGCTCCTCGAACAGCTCCCCGTCCGATCGCTGCAGCTGGGCCTGGATCGCCATAAGAACGCTTCCGTAGTTGTCACCCGGTTGCGTCAGGCTGCTCGTCCGGTAACTAAGGAGACGGGCCCCTGGGAAGTGCGGTTCAAGCACCTCAGAAAGATCGTGAATTACGGGCAACTTATCCGCCTCCATGTTGTTCACCTTACGGAATCTCGGGCTGTGTTTGCCTAGCAATCTGTACTCCAAGTCCACGGAGAGCGTAACGCAACTTGTTCAAGTGAGCACACTAACAAGACGTTGATTAGTTGCTTGATAACAGATATGTATATACAAACATATTGGTGAAAGAGGTGAAGAGGGGGCGTGTGCTATGGCAAACAATTTATTTCGTGACTTGCTAAATTAGCTCAGTAAAAAATATTAAACTTCTTTGCCAGTCGCAAGATAGCGTCGAATTTCGCCACAATCGTTTTTATTCCAGTATTCTTGGACAACACGGAAAAGTCCACGTCCTTAAAGTTTTCAGGAATCGTGCTGTTATCAGCCAGGATTACCTTCATCATAAAGATGGCATGAGGCAGCTGGATGTATGCAGTCCGCTTGACCTCTTCCAGGAATCTGCAATATAAAGGATGAGCAAAATAATCCTAAAAACTGACAAAACCAGTCTTACATCTCGAGTGAATAGTTGCTGGTGTCCACATCAACGCTTCGCAAGGTCTGAATAAAGGCGTTGTAGTAGATGGTCAGGAAATTGTAGTAGTTCTCCTCCAGAACGTTTACGTCCACGCTCGAGAAGAGCAGAAAGATGACATCGTGCACCAATGATCCGTACTGCGCGATTTGAAAGTCGACGATTTTCACCTTGATTGGAGTGCCTTCCTCGTCTAATAAGAAGGGAAAAGCATTAATATCCTAGACAGCATTAGCAATATCAGACCCTTCATACCGTATTTCAACATCATATTATTTATCCATAGATCTCCGTGCACAAGGGTAGTAAACAGACCGTCTTCCACATCCTTGCCAGCTTGAAAGGCGTCGAAAATGTCGAGCAGCTCCTTGACACGCTTCACGTCCCGTTCATCGCTGCTTACCAACGCGATGTCCTTCAGAATCTCACCGTTCATCTGTTCCTTTTCGGTCGCATCAATATTGGCGTTCATATCGAACTTCTTGAAGTACGGTCGCACGTATTCCTCGTACACCTGCGGCTTCTTCAGACGCAGAGCGATGGGCAGGGCGTGGTATTGGGCCAGGGAGTGCAGGATGAGCACCGTTTCGGCCAGATTGTACGGCTTGTGTCTGTTGCCCGGCCGGAAGTCGCGCACGGTGACGTTCTCCTGGATGAGAACGGCATCCCGATCCACTTTCGAGGCTCGAGGATCCAGCGAAATTCGGGAGCCGTAGTACCGCGGGAAGCCATCGAAGAGTTGTGCCGGCAGGATGCCCGACTGCAGCTGCAACTTGTCCAGCTCACGTGACAAGTACTGGTAGACCGCGTTCTCCGTGATGCAGGTTCGCTCGGGCTGGAAGATCTGCCAGTACAGATCGTTGGTGAGGGGCGGCAGTTTGGCTATGAGCGGCAGGTCCCGAACAGCACCGTCTGCACTGCGGATCTTTGCCTGCAGGGCCAACATGATGCTGCCATAGTTGTCGCCCGGTTTGGTCAGGTAGCGAGTGTCGTACGACTCCAAGGTGCAGCCTTCCGGCAGGTGAGGCTCGATCACCTGTGGCAAGTCCGTGATCTTCGGAACTTCTCCCATTTCTGAAACGGATGGTGCTTCTTGGCGTCCACTAAACGACTGAATGGATGGGCCGATTACGCGCGACCGTGCTTTTCTACCTTCGGCTGTGAGTAGTGTCAAAGCTATTAAATCCACGAACACTTGCACTATTTTTGCATGTGGTAGTCTAGTTTATTTGTCAAGTTTCGACGCTGTGCGAAATATTGGCTCAAGTGGCGTTGATAACGCTGATATAACGTTCTCATTACCCATTATACTTGGCAGTATTCTCTTCTCTTTAATTATTGTCCCGATTTTCTCTTTGTGTTGCATCGTTTTTAGATTAATGATCTAAAAGTGAGATCCCGAATTCGAAAATCGGTTTTTTACAACATTTAACTTTCTTGTTGTAGTCTATTTTTAGAATAGCTCTACAAGGTGAAATTTAATGTTTGCTATTTTTTACAATTTGTATTACTATGAAAAGGGTACAACAGGGTCGTTCCGCCGCAATTTCGCGCCTCTCAATTGTTTTTGTTGTTCGGTTTGCTGTGATTGTACCCGCAACTAGTGTCCCCTGACTAAATAGTTGCTTTGATTCATATCGCCGAGCGGGGGAGTTGAATTGTGCAACGCTAGTAGTACAAGAAGAGCTCAATCAAAAGAGGCGGCGATGGCGACGACAACAATCGTGAACATGGACGCCTAATTAAAATGTCTCTCTGTTATCAACGATGCCTCTTTAAAATTTGAATGTATATCTCACCTCGCAACCGTTTGAATCCCTACTCACCACACGGAATTTCACCACGATTTTATTTGGCTTTTTTAGCTGTTTAATGACTTGAAGAGTTGGCAGCCCTGTTTATGTGTGCAAACAATTGGTGATTTTATTTATATATTTTGAAGCCAAAATGGACTTGCAGGCGTTAATGCAGCAAATGTACAGCGGTGCGACGGGGATGCCGATGATGATGCCCCCACCGCACCTGAACGGGTACGGATACGGCATGGCGGCCCTCCAGCAGCAGCCCTTTTGCCCGTTTCCCCTCAACGGAAACGGCGACCAGTTGGCCGAGGAACTGGAGGACGACGACGAGGAGGAGGACGAGGAGCAGCGCACGCTCTTCTGCGGCAATCTCGACGAGCGCGTGACGGAGGAGATCCTGTACGAGGTGTTCCTGCAGGCCGGTCCCATCGAGGGAGTGCGCATACCCACGGACAACAAGGGGCGGCAGCGGAACTTCGGATTCGTGACCTACCAGCGCCTCTGCGCCGTGCCCTTTGCCCTGGAATTGTACCAGGGCCTGGAACTGTTCCAGAAGAAGGTGAACATCAAGCAGCAGGGCGCCGACAAGGCCAAGCAGCCACCTGCCTTCACCCAGAGTCGCCTGCGCAATCCCTTCACGCTGGAGGGACCTCCGCAGGCGTCGCCTCCGCGCCACGCCCGCCACAGTTTGCACGGCGCCAAGCCCTACGACCGCCATCCCTACGGGAACAACGGAGATCAGAGGCGGCGCAGCGACAGTTCCGTCATGGAACGCAACCGGCCGAGGACGCACCCACAGCAACATCACCAGCACATGCAAGGCGGTAACCGAAGGTCGGACCAGCGACACAACCAAAAACGTCGATTGCTCTGAGATCTATGCTTTTAATTAGATTTAAGTTTAACTTAAGATTACACTCGAGGTTACTCTAAGGTAGACTCAAGTACTTGATTTCCGTTAAGTGATGATTGCGCCCATCTCCACTTGACCTTCGGCAGTTCGGCTGCGAGTAAATTGTTAAAAGGAAAGAGAACATTTTACAATATATTTGCAGAAAATATCAAATCTCAGGGTACTTCATCTAGAAGGAAACGCAGACTACATTGAGATGTAACAATGTTTTTATTAGTCTTTAAGGTTAGGTATAGAATGTACTCTAGATTAAGGTTCCAATGCTGTGCCCTTATCATATGTAAGCTTCCAGTGGCTGCGGCTACTAAACCTAAGCTGTACAGATGTCAACGGGAATCAACGTGTGATGCTCCGCAGCGTCTTCTCCACGTTTCTGTAGGTGCGCGGCGGAATCACCTCCAGGAGCAGTCGCTGGTAGTTGTGGTGCTCGGAGAGGGCCCGGAACAAGGACTTGGCGTAGCTGCGGGTCTCTAGGCTGCCCTCGAGCAGCAGATTCGCCCCCACCACAAAGAACTTGTCGCGGCTCTCGCGACCCATGGCGTAGATGCGATCACTGCCCAATCGCTCGACCAGTCTGAAGAGCAGCTTGGCGGATGTGGTGCGCACCAGGGCGTTCTGGTGCTGAGCTCCCTTCGCGGCCAGGATGTTAAGTATCTTCTGCGGCTGAGCGTGATCCACCATCGACTCCAGGGCCCGAGTGGCGTCGGCGCGGAGAAAGCGATTCGTGTCGGCGGTGCGGTGCAGAAGGGCACAAACCAAGTCGTCGCACTCCAGCTGGAGACTGGTGGACTTGAGGGAGAACAACTCCGCAGCTGCCTGGCAGGAAGCTCGGGCCACCTGGGAACGCAGATTGCGCACTGAGCGCGTGAGCTGGATGCAGGTCATGTGCATCTGATTGTCCAGAGTGTCGGCATGGTAGCGGATCAGACGCACCATGCTCTTCAAGCCGGTCATGTTGGTCTCCCAGTTGCTCGAGTCCAGCTGGTCGAAGGTCTTGAGCAGAGCCTCGCGGGGCTTGTCGAAGCGCGCCATGTTCTGCGGGAAGAGCTCCGCCTGGGACATCTTGATGGCCTGCTTCACGGGCGAGACTCGTCGCTGAGCCCGCAGGAAGTACGAAGTCTTGGACTTCTGCTTGAGCGGCGTGTGCTGAACCTTTCCGGGGACACCGGCGATGCCCATTTGAGAGCCAGACTGCGAGGTGTTGTCCGTGGTGCTGGTGCTGGTGTCCAGAGAACCCTGCTTCGAGCCCGGTCGTGCCCCGTAAAGTGAGTCCAGGGAAATGCTGCGTGAATGGATCACTATGTCGTCCCGCATTGGAACCAACTTCGGGCCAAAGGTGTGATCTTCCAGCTTGGCTACCTCCGCTGGTGCTACTGGCTGCTCCTGAAATTCCTTCACCGGCGTGGTCTCCGGGGGCGATGAGTCCAGCTCGTGCTGCACTTCCTCGACCACCACGAAGCTGTTGCTGCCCTCGATATCCTCCTCGATGGGCAGGGATTTCACTGACTGAGCCCGCGAGAGCTGCGGTGTAGTGTCCTCCAGCTGGGTTTTGATGCTCTCCGTTTTGCTGTGCAGGCTGTTTAGGCTGCCATTGAGCTTGAGCGGCTCCTCGTGGGCCGGAGGCTCCGTTTCCGTCTCATCTTCAATGTCGTCCACCACCAACTCGCCGAAGGCCTCGACAGGATCCTGTTCGCGGCTCAGCAACTCCGTCTTAGAGTCGTTTCGATCTTCAGCGGATGAGGAGGTTCGCTTGCCCATCTCGCTTTGGCTGCCACACGATTTCGCCGAGGCTGTCGACTTTTGCGAATAGCTGGTGGACCTTACGGACAGGGGAGAGCCGTCCATCATGTCTTTTTCCGCTGCTTCCAAAGGCTGAACTGCCCTCGATGTATCCCTGTTATAAGGGAGCAGAAAATATAATACAGGGTTAGTAAATATTTATTGACATTTTCCAACGACGTACAACTCAACATATTCGGCGTAGACACTGTCTTTTTCAGTATCTGCCGGTGTCTGAAGCACGGCGAAAGTGGACTTATCATCGACCAGCTGGCTTTCTGTATCAATTTGCATCGATTTTCTGGACTCCGGAGCCGCGTCGGTGCAGCAGGTGCCGCAGACCGCAAGGTGGCCACAAAGAGCCCCCCGCAGAGTGGAGTGAGCCTCCGTTGCTCCGCGGCAGATGCTCTGCCCAACCGAGTGGAAAAGAGTACGTGTCCTACGCAGCAGATCAGCGGGCTGCGCGCCACAGGAAAACGCATTCTGCATTTTTCCTGCGCTGGCCAATTGGATAATTATCCTGGCTACTGCCTACTGGGCACAACACATACTCGAGCTAACCGCAATTGGCGACCACTACCAGCAACGCGACTTCACTGACTGTTTGCAATGCTCGTCGCCAGTCGTTTTGGCCATTTCAAATAAATTTCCATACCGGGGGAGCCCACAACAAAGCCAAAGTTGCAAACGAAAAACAGGACATTGCGTTTTCCAAGCAATCACACGACCACACACTGAACGGTTAAACCCCCGCCCACCCACGGGGTGCCAAGTCAAAGCCACGGAAAGGTCGTGGGATGGACTAGCGCTAACCAGCAGCGAACTTCCCAGCTAACTGGCCACAGGTCTTCGCTGTAAGAAGGTCCGGTTCCTAGACAAGGACCCCTTAGTCATCTTCGGGCGCCTTCGGTTCGTTCGTGGAAAGTCCCGAAGTCGGCAAAACAACAAGTTGCTATATCGGGTCCTTTAAAGGTATGTATTAATTTCTTGGATAACCAAAATTTGACCGTCTAGAAAATATGTAAATTTTTAAGCTTTTGCTAAACTATACTTTTTAACTAGCTCTGGGGTTAAAGTAAGGAAAAGTATCCATCGCTGCCGAAGGAAATCAATTTCCTGACCCTTCTTGAATCTTTCTCAGTATTTGCTTAGCTGTGAAATAAGCTAACGAAAATGGATTCGGGTCGCGGCGCCAGTGGTCACTTGAAGGTTTGTCGCGCGTGACGTTGACCGATGTCCCCAGCCACATTCTTGAATTTCACCAACGCGGTTTCCACTGCGCATTTGAATTATTTAGGTTAAGCAACCCGACACCTTTAATGCCGCAATTCTGTGAGAAGGTGCGTGTGTCGACCGGGGCGACAACTAAATTCGCTGACGAAGGTTCGCCCCTTTAACTTTAACCCCGCTTTCGCCGGCACTCGAATATTTACATACGTATATCTGAGCGGGGTGCTCGAAATGTAGGTTAACATTTGAGCCCAGGCAGGGGTAAATCACTGGGGCGACTGGATGAATGGGCTCCGATGCCGGTCCCTTAATTGAGATATGGAGTGGACACTTACACTGATTTTGTGGCGTCGGCGCACTCGGTGTCCAGCGATTGCAGGTGGTCAGCGGAAATGCCGCTCTGCTGTCTCCTTTGGGACTCGTTTAACTTGCTATTTTCGACACCTACATGCAAATTTAGCGTAACGTAATTGGCAGGACGACCACTGAAGCGATATTTACCTTGAGCAGGAGCTGCGTTCCTCAGCTTTGTGAAGGAGTGCTGGTGCTGGAGTTTCCTGCGAAGCATCTGCTGGGACTTTGGGATCGAGTAGCTGACCTTCGGGTATGCCGGTCCCTCCACGGAGTAGGCTTTAGAGCTGCGCTGCATGCTCCGCATAAAGTTGTTGACAAAGTCCGTATGCTGGTTCATGGCGGGAAATCTGTGGGGATTGAGCTACAGTTATTGACCCGGTGGCTTCCACAGCAGTACTAAAACTTCGAACCTGGAGTTGGCTCCGGAGAACTGACCACCGGTGCGGGAGGTGAGCTGTATGAAGCTGCTTGTGGCGCTTCCACTGCTGCAGGTCGTGGTCGTGCTGTCAGTACTTCGTCCATCCATGGAAGTATCTGAGCACGCCTTGGCCACCAAGCGACGGTCCACGAAGGAATGATTTCCTACAAATGCAAAAGGTCGGGGATGAAGAATATATTTATCTGATACTTGCGGACCACTTACCATTATTAGTCTTAGCGCCAAAACTTAATCTTTGCGAAAAGTCCTAGGGTGGAGAATATTCAGCATGTAGATGATTGTTGAATAATCTTCATTATACTCACATTTGTGGGGCTAGTCATGTCCAAAGTTTCTGGCGGAGAGTGGAAGGAGTGGCGATGCAGGCTCTCGTTAACCTGGCTGAAACTAAGGGTTTGCATTTTTATAATCGCATGTTTAATATTAAGATGGGAATAATTATTGCTAATAGATCTAAAACAGATTTCCAGATTTCATAATTGTAATTAACTTTATCAGGTTTTAAATTTTAAAATTTAATATTAGGAGACTTCAATATTTCTAATGTCTAAATTAATTATTTTTAATTTTTTGTTTTCGTCCTCTAGAAATTCTTAACTCAAATACCTATCAACTTAAAGGCACAGAAATAATGGACTTCCCTACCTGTGGAACGCATCTTTCTTGTTTTTTGCCTCGGTGCTCTCAAGTACGTCGCGCTGAGTGCTCGCCGCCCGCATGCGTCGCCTCTTGATTGTGTTTGGAGAGGCTGAGCCTTCCCCCTGATAGATCCAATCCACGTCCGCTCCGGAACGCCGGGATCCAGGCTGATCAGTCTGGTTAAAAACAAAAAGCACGCCACTGTCGGGCGTGACAATGGGCAGCTGCAAGCGCGAGAGACGCACACTCGCCGCCTCCAGGACTTGTGGTCCCAGCTCCACGCCGTCGATCGTTTCAGAGACAATGGCTAACACCTCCTTTTTGGATGAGATATCGGCCAGCACTGCCAGGACCTCAAGAGCCGCCTGGCGCACGCGACGCTTGCGATTCAGCAAGGAATATACGGCCTGAGCCGTCAGGAGGCTGATGTCGAAGCAGGTGCCCGGAAAGGTCATCAGCGCAAAGATGGACACTTGAAGCGCGTGGTCCCGGAACTGCGGTAAGTAAAGTTGAAATTTAGTTGTATTCTAAATGCGTTATCCATCTACCTTTGAACTCTTTGCGTGCAGGAAGTCTGGCGAAGTCAACTTGGCCACAATGGTTCCGGCGGGAAGGCGCTGCATCAGAGCCTTGCAGACCCGGTTCGCTCCAGCATTTCCCTGGCGACACAATCCCGTCAGGATCTGCGGTGTGCGCTCCTCCAAGTTGTCCAGGGGCAGGCGCGAAATGAGATTAACCAACAGCTCCCGCTTCAACTCGGACACCTCAAAGTGACGCTCCGATGAGAGGAGGGTGCGGAGCAGACTGTCCAGATACGGTTGCACCAAGGCCAAATTGCTCGACGAGCTTAGGGCGAGTTCCAGTTGGGCGATGCCCATCAGACGATTCCTCCAATCCTAAAAAGAGTGCAGAAAAGGTGAATAACAGGTAAGTACATTTTGGCGTGGCTAGTGTTTTATGGCCTACTTGAGCTAATTTGGCAAGTGTGAAAATGAATGGCGCAGAAATTATTTCTTAAAAGGGAAACAACAAAATCCAACAACGAGTACTGAATGTGCCATAAATGTCATTCGATTAAATTTATTTGGTAAAATGGGATCAAGAAACGGGTCGGTGTAACTATTTTAACATCTATCTCTATTTAATTCTTTGTGATTTAAAATATTCTAATATATTGATAGGATATATTATATTTTTATAACTATTTTTACATTTATCCCTATTTAATTCGTTGTGATTCTTAATATTCTAATATGTTGCTAGGATATATTATAGTTTCATAATTTATATTCCTTTACACATGATACTTGCAGTTATTAAAATTGAGCTATGTTAATTGTTAAGATCCTTTAGGTAAATGACATTTAAATTGAAAATTTCATATTTAAAGTGGTGCTACAAAGCAATTTAAGATTGAGAGGCTAGCGGTCGACAATGGCGTACCTTCCTACTTGTATTTAGTACGCGCTATAATTTCGGTTAATGTTATTTATATTTTTGTGCTTGGAATGACCCAGTTCCTGACACGCTCTATGCCCTGACCCCTCCCCCTTCCCCCTCCTCTTCCCTACGGCCAGCGTCTTCATCAAACATCGCTCCGTAATGGTGGTCTTGCCATTTTATCGTCGCATACGAGCTGCAAGCTGGGCACTAGTTATTGTTCCTGCTCTTGTTTTTGTGTTTTTGTGCACGGTGCTAGGAAAATCGCGTGCACTTAAATGATTGACCGGCCAGAACTCTTGTACTCGGCTGCAGCTCCCCAACAAAGCAATCCCATCCAATCCAACACCCAGTCCGCACAACATGCAACTGCCACCGGAATCCCAAAGTTTTTTGTGCACCACTCAAAAAGTTGGTCCTGATAAGAGGCAGTTCGCTTACATCACGATTTATTCTGCTGACGCACTTTTTCTGCAATTTTCATTCCTTAATTTTGGCACACAATTTGGCATTACTGGAAATTAGTTTCTTGAAGGGCTAACCCCATTTTCGACAGCTCTTTGGTCATTGGCTATTGCTTCTGAAAAGAGTTCGACATGTAGAAATATTTCCAACTATTTTTCTCCGAACCGTCCATATATGTACGTCAAAAATTAATAGGTCATTGGTACAGTGGCTTGGCTTTGTTTTCTATAGTCACCGATATAGATGGTGGATGGCGGGCAGAGAGGGGTCGCTTATCGCTGAAATTTTCATTAGCAAGCAAGGGGTCGCCGGCGATATAATGGCACCTGTAATAGCGATTCCGACTGGGGGTGGAGTGATGCGTGTCTCGTCCGCCATAAAGAAAGCCGGGCGGCTGCCATTATGAAGGCAGAATTATGAACGCATATGAAATTGTACATATCCTAGTGACCCAGTTAGAGCCCGAGGCGGCAGGGCGACCCGGAACCCAACGCTGGTTGGGTAGCGTGTGGTGTAATTTCACTTCATTGCTTTATTTTCGGTCGCACAAAGTAGCCCATGCGGGAGATTCGGAGTTGGGATTTGGATTTTGGGGTGGCGGATTGCAATTACACGGCGATTGCTAAATGTCGGCCACTAATTTCATTGCAATTATAGCGACTTACCCCGGATCGCAGGTCCATCAGCGTCTTGAAGTTGACAATGTCCAGATCCTCCCAGGATTTGGGCGTGGCCGGTGACTCTGCCGACACGATAGAGGCGGTTCTGGTTCTCCGCGGCTGTGTCGGTGAGTCAGAGGGGTTTCCTGCTAAAGGAAGGGGTGCCTCCCCATTCTCAGTTCCACCCATTTCCTCCGAACGGCGCTGAGATCGTGGCGAAGGATCGCGCTGCAGGTTGTGCAGAACCTCGATTTGCTTGTGCGGCACCTTGGGGCTGATGTTATTGCTCCCAGTCGGACTGGTGCTGCGGCTCCGGAAACCGGGAGATCGAGGCGATGGCGACAGCTTTCCCTCGGCCTCCTGTCCCTTTCGAGGACTACTTGAGAAAGGTGGATCAGCGGACGCGTTGCTCTGATGGCGCGGTGACTGCGAGCTGAAGGGTCGTGCCTGCGGCAATGGCTTCGTATTGTCCGAAGGGATCTCCACAACTAGGGCCGTGGTCCTCTTGTCGCCAGCGGATCTTGGAGGCTGCGAGTCCTCCACTGGCGAGGTCAATGGAGAGGACGATGCATCCAGAATAGTGACACTCTGAGTGGCCTGTCCAGGGCTCCGAGAATTGTTTGTCGAGGAGGCTGCGTCGCTATCGGGAGTCCTCATCTTAACGATCTCCCCCCCGAAGGTGACTCGCTTCAGTCCGCGTGAGGGAGTACTCGGCTCGGAAACGCTGCCAGGCTTTATGGCACGGGGCTCGTCCAACTCCGAATCGCTTATAACCTGCACAATACCGGCCCCCACATTCAGTTCGTGGTGGCTGTTGGACAAGAGAGGGTGGCAAACCAGGTCCGCCGACTCGTCATCCTTTGAGAAATTCCTGGCCGGGCTATCGGATTCTTCAGTCTCGGTATCCGCCTCGAGAATCCGCATGGTCACTGTGTCGTCGTTGATCTTGATCTCCGTTTCCATGATCACCTTCCCCTTGTCCGGGCAGTTGGACTGCATTTGGAGCGGGGATTCCATGGCGTTACTGTTTCTCCAGCCCTGTTCACGCGGAAGTGCTCGCCATGCTCCTGTTTTAAGCTCGCCGTTCCTTTTCGGTTTCCCAGACACCCCGTAAACCTGACAAAGTTGGTAGTACTTGGCCAGAGCGTCGCCGCGTCCAACATCACTCATAAGGCCTTCGAACTCGTGGACCCCCAAGAGCTCTCTGATCTTGGTCAGGACCTTCAGGCTGATCTCCTGCTGGGCCAGTTGATCCATGTGCTGGACCACTCGCTCCAGAGTGCAAAGGGCGATGCGGTGTCTCTGTGGAGTGTGCATCGTGGATTGCAGGAGCGCAGGCAGGGAGAGCAGAACCCCGCAGCTGAGGCGACCCAAGTGCTCCGATTCCGCTGGAGGTTGCTTGGTCAGGCCGGCTTCAAGGATGCCCAGCATGACCGCCTCCGGAATGGCAGTTTCGGCCAGATAGACCCGCAGGCAATCGAGGGCTCCTTTGCGAACAGTGGGCGCCTGGTGGCCCAGGTTCTCCACCAGCAATCCAATGAGCTGCTCCTGCTCCATGTGGCCATCGGCCTCGTCTTGCATCACCACAAGAACGTCGACGAGGACTCGCAGGGCGTGCTGGCGCACCTGCCACTCGGGGTCCTGCAGGCGCTCGTGGAACTCGGCGAATATGGCGCTGGGGAAAATTGTTTCCGGCAGGCGGCGGGTGCGCAGAATATGCTCCCACAACGGTGTCAGCTGCACGGCACCGATTGGGCCCGACTCCGCCCGGCGTTGGACTTTCATTGCAGCGGGCAGAGGTGCACCGCCCACCGACTGGTTGTTATTGCTGTCCTTGACTTCGCTCACGTAAGTGACACTCTCGCTGTCCTCGCTGTTGTACTGCCCTGGCGGACTTTCCGTCGTCGTCGTAGGGAGCGCTTTGCCAGCGCTATCCTTGCGTTCCAAAACGCGCCGAAAGAACATGCTGGACTGACTGACTGCCTCCCGGCTCCTACTGCAATTATCTAACTAACTGCCTCCGGCTTATTCACTCGGCTTTAATTTTTAATTGTCACGCACGCTTGCATCCGGTCGCAAATGTCCTGCCACTACTTTCGGCCTTTTCCCATTTTCTTCTGCTTCGATTTTTGTTCACTTGACTTGACCATAACAAAACAGTTCAACTGGCTAGCAACGAATGCCGAATTTGTCCGCTTGCTAACTGCTTTTGTAGCCAATGCTAGAGCTTGGCTGTTGCGAGAACATCCAACTTTACTGCGCATGCCAACTTTATTCTCTGGCTCCTTCGCCTCACTCCGTAGGAAACTATTTAGCAAAAGGCTCTAAGGATCAAAACCTGGCTTTTAGTACCGGATAAGGCGGAGTGAGAATTTAATGCTGTAATACTATATTTATCTGAATCAATATTGCTTTAAATTTGCACAGCTTGTGTTATAAAATGTTTATTTTTAATGCAGGTCAAAGTTTTAAAAGAACTTTTAAGTTTTCGAAGGCAGAAAGATTACCTTTAATCATATCTTCTTACTTATGCTTATGAGCTTAGGCTTTAAAATATTTAACAATTAAGAAATACCCAAAACTAACATCGCTACTCCTCGTGAATTGAGTTATCTACCGCGGGGGGCCAATCCAAATCGATTCCTACCACATCCAGTGCTTGAATGTCGATGGGTTGTCCTATGATCGAGGACAATGAAGGCGTGGTTCGGCCGAATTCGCCGTGAACCAGCTCCTTTATGTAGGTGCCCGCCTGAGTGACGATATCGATGACCAAAGCTTTGGGATTCCCCCTCTGCACCATTGCCTTAACACTGTAAATCGTTCTAGGACGCGTGTGCAGAGGGCGACGGTGAAGGACTCGGATGGGCGTCTTTTGCTGAATATCGAAGCTCTTTAAGATTTGCAGTTTCTCCAGGATCTCCACTGAAACGGGCTCCTTCAAAGCGCAAAGAGCGCGGTAGAATTTCTTCTTCAGTTCTTCTCCCGTCTTTATGTGGGTTAATTCTTCTCTGGCCACGACTTGTAGATTAAGTATGGACACTTTTTCAGAGGCATCCACAGCCCGTTCCATCTTGAAGGCCTGCTCCTTGCTCAAGCTACTCCTTATGGCATTGGGTATTTCCAAAACAAAGGGTCTGCCCTTGCCCAAACAACGAACATCCACATCTTCCCTGCCGCTGGACATAAAGGTGATCTTGTCCAGCTTCTCTGTGAAGTGGGGACCCACGTGCCTGATGATGATTTCCTCGATACTGTCCTCCATCAGTCGTTGGCCATTCAGGATCCAGGGAGTGTGCGAGAGTTCCCGGCTCAGCTTTCGGTATCTGCCAGCCACACAAACCAGGGGTCCCTGCAGATCTATGGAAGTTAGCCTTAGAGGTTCGTCTACGATGGAGCAGGGAATCTGGAAGTATTTCTCAAAGGTTTCCGCCCGCACCTTAGACGGCTGATACTGTTTCTCCAGCAATCCCCTCGAGATTTCAATGCGTTTCTGGTACGCAGCCTTGGCGGGAAAGGCCTCCTTGTTTAGTTTCACCAGCTTCTCCACCTCCTCGCCCTCCAGTTTGTGCGTGAGATCTATATTGATCATCAGGCCATTGGCATCGTACTCCTTGGCCAGCTTTTCGCAGATTATAGGGTGCAGGATCAGTTTAACAGCCTCCTTTATGGGAACATCTGGCGGATTGGTGCCGTCTATGTCTGCTCCGAATTTCCTCTGCAGGGCGAACCACATGGCCAACTGCCTCAGTTGCAGCGACATGGGCAAACTTATGGCGAGCACGATTTTCTGGCAATCGTATTTGCCAAAGTCCGAGGCCAGAATGCCTCCGAGAAGCTCCGTCTGAAAATCCTTTGAGAACAGGCCCAAACAGGTGGCACAAATGCCCAGGCGGGCTTTCTTGGCCGGTTGCTCCTCGTTTCCTTCTCCGTTCTCCACATTTTCATTCAGCTTTACGTCCAACTGGGCATTTAAAATGGAAAAACCAGCCATCCGTTAGTTGTCAACAAATTTAAAACGAACAAAGACGCACCTTCTGCAGGGTTTCCTTGATGTCCCTGTACTCCGTGCCCCTGGCCTTCAGGTAACGCAGCTGGCAAACTTCGCACACCCCGCAGGACCTCAAGTAATCCACCAAATCCTGGTTTTTCATGGCTTCTCGTTAAATTCAATTTTATAAACAAAACGTGGAGAGCAGTTCGCGCGCTTACCAACACCGTCAGCTGACAGCTGTCAACCGTTCGACTCGTCTGGTCACACTCGGAGCTCGAGATAAAAACACAAAATAATTGTTTTCATCGCGAATTGCCAGGAAATTAAGGTGTGCAATTAAGGGAGTACCTGCTAAACATTAATAGGAATACGGAAAAGACTGTTTGAAGTCAAGAGACTGCCATTTGGAGCGGAACTCTTGGCTTGCGGCCTTTGTTTATTGTTACGTCACATAGCCGAGCAGTGGAAAAGCTGCCAGGAATCGAGAATCAGTTAAATTGGTTTGGATTTTATCCCGCAGACAAAATGTCGCTGACTCCCTTTTTGCGCCTGCCCCTCACGGACCTGACTGGCTGCCTGATTAACCACCAGACCTACGACAAGTGCGGCAAGTTCGAGATGAAGATGATGGAGTGCTTCGAGGCGTACGGCCTGGAGCGCGGAAAGCGGGAGTGCGCCGACCTGATCTCCGACTTCCAGGAGTGCGTGGGCATGCAGAAGCAGCTGATGCGTTTCCATGTAGGTTTCTCCGCAGTTACATATCGCTAACGAGCTATAAATGTGCATAAATTCCGCCTTTCAGGCTATGAGAAACGAGCGCTACAAGCAGTGGCTGAAGGGAGAGCGCAAGGGCCAGGAGTTCTTCGCGGATCCTCCGCGCGTGGATGCCTATTAAACGGGGAGCCTATTGGGTAATTCCATATTGAATAGCCGCAAATTGTGTAAAAATAAAGAAAATTAAATTCGAATTCATTATTTTGGTATTAAAAGCAGAGTTGCCAAGTCTCCCGGCACTGAACATTGTCTTGGTATATTTATATAAGTGAGCAGCGGTATTTTTCAAAGCTGCGGTCACACTGCATACACGGCTTATTTTGTTGCTCGGGCGAAAAAGTTTGATTAATTTTAGTTTTTACACACAAAACCTCTACAATGGGCACCAAAAGACCCAACAACAGCGTGGCTTTGGCCCAGGAGTCAAAGCGGAGCAAAAGCGACCTGGTGGCCTACACAAATCGGGATAAAGCGCTCCTGGAATCGGTAAGCGTGCTGGGAAGAAGAAGCACCCGCAATTTCTCATGAGTTTTTTGTTTTATTTCCTTAACTATCTGATTTTCTAGGGCGTCAGGCGTACCTCGAACCTGCAGGCGCCCATAATGCAGCTGGAAGGACACGAAGGGGAGATTTTCACAGCGGAATTCCATCCTGAGGGAGAGTTGCTGCTTTCCTCCGGGTACGACAGGCAGATATGTAAGTGAAAGTGGCAGAAATGCAGTACAGCAATGGTTTTAGAAGTGCCTATATAATATAATAATAACTACAATTTGCATTTCAGACATCTGGCAGGTGTACGATGACTGCGAGAACGTGATGGCCATGTCGGGGCACAGTGGCGCCGTGATGGAGGCCCACTTTACGCAGGATGGCTCGCACATCTTTACCTGCTCAACGGACAAAACCCTGTGTCTGTGGGACATAGTCACGGGGCAGCGGCAGCGGCGGTTCAAGGGTCATGGTAACTTTGTGAACAGCGTGCAGGGATCGCGACGGGGTCAGCAGCTTCTCTGCTCGGGGAGCGACGACCGCACCATTAAGATCTGGGATGCCAGGAAGAAGCACGCCGCACACTCCTTGGAATCACCGTTCCAAGTGACCGCGGTTTGCTTTGGCGACACCGGCGAACAAGTGATCAGCGGCGGGATCGACAACGAAGTGAAGATCTGGGATATTCGAAAACAGGCTGTCTTGCATCACCTGCGAGGGCATTCTGACACGATTACCGGCATGTCGCTGTCCCCCGAGGGAGACTTTGTGCTGACAAATGCCATGGACAACACCTTGAGGGTCTGGGACGTGAGACCCTATGCGCCGGGCGAAAGATGTGTGAAGGTCTTCCAGGGCCATCAGCACAACTTTGAGAAGAATCTGCTGCGTTGTGCTTGGTCGCCGGGTAGCGACAAAATATCCTCGGGCTCCGCCGACCGACATGTCTACATTTGGGACGTTAATACGAGGCGAATCCTCTACAAACTGCCCGGACACAATGGCAGTGTCAATGCCGTGGACTTTAGCCCCAAGGAGCCGCTCATTCTCTCTGGATCCAGTGATAAGACCTTGTATCTGGGAGAGATTGATGAATGACCGGTGTTTAATCCAAAGAGCGAGAGGATTGCTGCTCTCGGGGACACTTCTTTAAGTCGCAGGTAACTTTTTATTGAGATCGGATCAATCAGCCGGTAGGCTTGCTGTCAATAAATATTTGTAAACCTCTGTAGGTCTACTTAACTATTCAATTTTCACAACAAAATATTCTACGTGGCCGATGCTGGCATTTCTTCAAAACGTCGTAATAAGTAGACACAATGTGCATTTTATTACATGCAAATTGCTGATAAGGGAGGAAAACTGATGACTCAAACCCAGGAATAAATAATAAGTACTGTAAATTTGAGAGGCGTTGTATCACAAATAAGTTTTATTTTAGATTTATCAATGAGTTTTAAATAAGTTACTTTTCGTTGCTGCGGTGGTGGATGATTTTTCGTTTCGTCAGCCCTTCCTCCTTTTAAACAGGCAGCACACTTGCCGACGCAGAGACGCTGCTCTTGAAGAGCTGCCCAAAGAACTTGAGCCCCGTTGCTCCACCCGGAACCATGCCCAGAATCATGAAGAGCAAGGCAATTATCTGGGCCACTGCGAAGAGGACAGTGAATGCGGTGCTCTTGGCCACCAAGGCGCAGTACAAAGTCAGAAGGAGGCAGGAACTGTACGAGATCGAGGTGAGCAGTCGCGGCTTGGAGAACATCTGCTTGAGAAAGGAGCCGAATCCGGAGAGGAAGCAGAAGCTCAGAATGAAGAAGAGGCTGCCCAGCGTGTAGAGCAGGGCGAACTTTCTGGCCTTCAAAATTAGGACGGGAATGTAGAATGTGGAGAGCGTCATGCAGAGTGCGCCCATTCCCAGACAGGCCACGAAGCCCACGATTCGCTGCAGGCGGGACTGAAAGAGGAATTATATAGACTTGTCGGCTGTTGTGTATAATGTGCACCCACCAATTTTGGGAAGCACGAGTCCGTGTCCTTCAGGAAACTATTCGCCTCTGGCTCCGAGCGGAAAAACGGAACTTTCAGCTGTGGCAGCTTGACGTTGAAGGTCTTCTTCTGATCGCTCTGCAGGAGCAAGTACTCGTCTAGGTCCGACTTTAAACTACTCATTTTTTTTAGGAGTTTATTTTATTTATCTGTCGTGTAAGCAAAACAAAACAAGCTGGCGATAACGATAGCTTAGCTACTTTCGATGATTTTAGCGATTGGAGTTGAATTGATAGTTCCACAGGTTAGCAGCGCGTTTTTGTTCTTACACTTGGCAAAATAAGTCATATCCTTGAGTTTTGATCCAGAAAATGCAAGACCTAGCCAAGTATAGTTAAGAATTTAGAGGAAAAGCTATCTAAGATGATGCAATTATATATTTATTTATATAGGCTAAGTTAGAGGTAAAACTATAAGCTAACATAACAACTAGAAAATAGTTTTAAGATTACTTAGTAATTACTTACACGAAAAATCATCCAGACCGCTAGAACCAAAAATATATCCTTTTATAGCTAGATACCTTTTGGGTACCGAAGCAGGAAAATTAGGACATTAGAATAGGGTTTTACCAAAAATGGTTTTGCGGTGAAAACTATTCCGGAAATATTAAAAGTCCGATCGTTTTCACTTTTTTTTGCTGCTTGCCAGTAAAGGAGTTATCTTGTCGCTAGACATGGGTTTTTTTTAAGGAAAAGTGGATTTAATAGGAAAAAAACGACTTATTCTACCTCAATAAGCACTATTTTATTCAAACAGTCGCATTTCCGCTTAACTGTTCTCCCAGAATCGTGTTCATCGCAGGGCATTTAAAATCCCTTTAAAACTTATAGCTGACTGAAATATCAGCCAACTAACAGCCAAGGGAATACCCTAGTTGTTGAGATACAGTACAGCGCCCCTTTTAACATAAATGTAAAAACGTTTTCTTACATTAGCGAGGACACTGTAATGTTAAGGCAATTTCAACTCCAGAATGTTATGTTAACATTTCTGTTAGAAATCGCTCTCCCAACTATCGATAGTGCGATCGTTTGCTTTCCATCGCTAGTATATTTAACAGAGCTCGGTTCTCTATTTAGCAGCACTGTTAACATTGCATCTTAACATTTCTGTTAACCATCGTCTGCTAGCTAACATTTTCAGCGATGGGACATCGTCGATTCCTTCATCGATACCCATCGACACCCTCGATACCCAGAGTCCAAAAACTACTCACCTCCGCGGCCAACACTGTTTTTAAAAATTCGGAAGTGAACGGACCGCGCGTCGCAGCGAGCAAGTACAACAACAACGGCGAACGGCGGCGCAGCGATCAACAAACGCCGCCAAAACACACAGAGCGAAGCGCAAAAGTTATTGTTATTGTCTGAAAGTGCCCCGCCCCTCCCCTGTGCGAGCATCGGCGAAACCTGTGTGTGTGAGTGCGCGAGTGTGTTGCGTGCGAAACTGCATTAATTGCACCAATACCAAGCAGATGCAGCGACAACAACGAGAGTTAACGCAAATCCAAATCCAAATACAATAAATACAAACAAAAACAGGGGCAAGCAAAGCAAATGGAAATCGAGCCACGGCAAGCCCAATAAATGATAAAAATTTAATTTTTTTATTGTTTCCAATTCAATTTTGTGATGCTTTTTCTGCCGAATGAAATTCGCAGGAGTTCGCAGTAAAAAGTCACCCCAAAAGCAAAAGCAAACCCCGAGTGCATAGATGCACAGGAAAACAACAGCAAATACACCCAGTAAAAGTATAATAAAATCGTGCACTTGGACTCGGATCGGTTTTTCGGTTCGGTACGCAGAAAAGGCAGAACTCATCGGGCGCGTCGTTACCTTTTTTGGAAGTTTTCGAAATAGCTATTGCCACGAAATCCACCAGTAAAATGCGCAAGTTTCGAATACAGTCCAAAACGGGTTTACAATAAATTTACTACACTGAGCCAGCGAAAAAGGATCCGATGAACAGCCAAGGAAAGCCGCTCCAATGGTGTAAGTATCTCAAAAAGGGGAAAACAATCTCAAATACAATTTATTTAATTTTGTAAGGCCGGGAACAATGCATACTATTCTCAAATAGGCTTGAAAATCCAATAGGAAAGTATAGATTACATTATTCTATTATCAGTTGGTCAGCCCGACTCACACTTTCATCAAAAGTAACTCAACACGAGCTCTATTTATTTTTTAAACAGAATTTCAGTTCAGGGAAAGATCAGTGTTAATCATTCTGAGAAAAGGCCTTTAAATAACGTTCGAATTTTTCCCATTTCATTGCAGCTCTCAACGCAAATGGTAAGAATGGATAAATCGATCACAGATCAAATAAAACAGAAAAATAAAATATTAACCAAAATCAAAGTGATGGATAAAGCCTGAATTTTCCAATTCGGAGCAGTGTTTAAAAAGTGCACAACTAAGTGGTAATAGATTTATGAAAAGTCTAAACATAAAATTCAAAGAAAATTAAAAAACAATGCCGAAATTTATCAACTAAAAAGCTACTTAAAAATAATTTTAAACGAGAAATTTATTGAATTAACAAAATGTTAACCTATAACTTTATTTTAAAACTAAATACAAACGTATTTACAAAGTTTTTCTAAACAGAAGTTTTTGAATAGAGAAATAGAATTTCTGTACAATTCTGCAGGCTATCTTCTTGCTTTCAATAGAATATAATAGAATAGACCATTTAGTAGAGCTCGAGTCAGGTTAAAAATGTGTTTAAAAATCCCCAATACTCCCAGTTCAGAGCGGAAAGCTCTTCCTCTTCTTCGGGCTATAGAAATTGGCAGTACCAGTACAAAGAAAATGGCACAACAAAAAATGTGAGCTCGGCGGCAGCGACGCCGGCAGAGGCAGGGCTTCGCTGCCGACGGGGCAGCAATTAACTCGAAAGCAAAGAATTTCATCAGAAATTCAAAGCACACACACACACAGCGCACGCATACTAGCGGCGGATGACGACGTCGACCGCGACAGCGGCCACAGCAGAGGCAGCCAGAGCGACGTTGGAAATTTGTAGCGAAAAATCCAGGCTGACAGCTCCCCCAACGTACGAAAAAGTAACATGGCGACTATATATAAACGTATATAAATATCTGCGTGTGTGCGCGGGCTCCAAACTACAAAAACGAACAACGCAAAAGAGCGAAAGGGAGGGGGCTGCCGAGCTGCGCGAGTCAGAGCGGGACGGCAGCTGGGCGAAGAGGAGGTGGTGGAGAGAAATTGTCGTGTCGCTTGAAAAATCGATTCAGCTGCCGTGTGCGAGCGGGACGGAGCGATGCAGTAAAACCGCTTTTTTTCTTCTTACTTAACCCGTTTGGTGTGCGTGCGCACAGAGTCCCCCCTGTGTGTGTGAGTGAGATTGGGGAGCGAGAAACTACAAAGTTGGCGCTCTCTTTCTGGCACATGCTGTTGGTGTGTGGTCACGTAGCCACAAAACGAACAGCAGATACTAAATACATACTAAAACTGGTTTTCTTTTTGCCGCTGCTGGCAGTATTCATGAATTCTAGTTAAAACGCCTGGCTTTAATGGGGTTTTTCCTCCTCCAGAGGGAAGAAAGACTGAAAATTCCCGACCACAAAATGGCGAACCGAAAAGCAAAACAAAACAGCGCCAGCTCGCAGGGGGAAATTTAGACTACATAGCTCTGTCTTCGGGATGATCTTATCCCACTTGGCTGCCAGCTGGCTGGGTCTTTTTGTGTGTGGGCCTTTCGGTCCCAGTTTTTTGCGAGCCGCACCCCACCAGTTCTACAAAGCGACTGAAATCGCGTAGCTCTGCGGCCCCAAGTTTTCGGGGAGCAGCGCAGTGGCAGCGCCGTTGGCAGAGCAGAAACTTTCACGCGACCGATGGGGTCCGGCCAGTGCGCTAGAGCGAGACGCACATAGGGCCGTCGCTTCGAGCAGCTTCTCGCACACACACACAGAAGTGTATCGCTGTATGGGTGATTTCCTGCTGCGCCCCAAAAGAAAATACGTAGGAGATTTAGAGCTACAAAACTACACGAATTATGGAAGAACGTGCAACAACAAAGCGAAAGAAGCGCACCACATGACCACATAGCCATTTATAAATACACAGCCGAGAGATACTCGTTTTCCATGTACGAGAAAAAGTACCAGCTATAAATTCTTTATGTACCCACGAGTACATAGCGCGCGCACACAAGCACAGACCCAAACACCCTATGTATTTTGTGCGCTGAAGCAGCAACAACAGCTGGCTGTCTCGCTCTAACAACCACGTCAGACGGCAAACGTCAATTATAAGCAAACAAAGCGACGTTGCCGCTTTTCACGCCAGCCCGCAGCGGGCCAGAGTGAGAGCGAGCGAGATGGCGTTGCGCGGCGCTGTTGCCGAACTTCAGCATCGAACGTTGGTGTGTGTGTGTTGTTCTTGTAGTTTCCATGCTTCTTTAGTGCATGGAATTTTAACATGCTGTACCTCCAACCCCCTTTTTCGGGGGGTGGGGATTATAATAACGCGCTGCCGACGTCGCTGCTCGCATTTTCCACCTTCTCGCACTGGTATTGTTGCAGAGGAAATGGCCCTATACAAGGAGTTTATCTTTATATATCTATATCTAGTACATGCCGTATTCCTCGCTTAAATTGAGGCAAAAAGAAGAGAACACATCTTGGGGCCCATTGAAATTTCAATAAATTTAAATTGCTCTAGTTGAATTAAATTAAAAGCGTATTTTTAGTTGCTAAATTAAGGCAAATTGGCATAAGTGAACAAAATAACAAGGAGCTAAATAAAATCAAGTAAATTGCAACAAAAAAGAGTCAAATCATGTGAAAATCACAATGGAAGAGAAGCTTCCATACAAAGTGCATGTGCAAGTGTTCAACGAAGAAATTCAAGTGCCAGCTGGAAAATCTAATCCACATATAACCAACCCCCCCGTATCTTTTATCCCCCTTTCGTAATATAGTGCTAAAAATGTGCAAGTGAAGCGGAAATCTTACCAAAGTAATTGAAAGAAAGATATCCATAAAAGCCCCCAAATTAAACAAGCCGAGAATCGTAAGCGTAACAATCCCCACACTGGAATATATAAAAAGAGTGCATAATGTTCAATGGGAAGGAGGGCGCCCATTTAAAATGATGCCCCTCCATTCGCGGCATACGACGCAATGCTCCTCCTAAATAGAAGAAGATTCTGCTGCGAGTGTTCCGTTGTCGAAACATGGTACGCGACAGTAGCCGTAACATTTGTTTTGGAAAATTAGCCGAAACTACTACGCCGCACCAACAACAACAACCACAGCCGCAGCAGCAACAACAGCAGTTCGTTGTGGATAGCAGCTCCATTAATAATAATAACAACAATAATAGCAACATCAACAACAATAATCAGAAATTGAAAAGGTAAGTTTGTACCTCAAAGAGGTGAATAGTAGTATAAAATCCTTAACAAAGTAAAATATGGGGATTCATGTTTTATATATATTAAAAGTATTAGTAGACTGAGTACTAGTTTGGGTTAAAATTATCAACTTTTTTATAACAGGCAGTATTTTTTATAATAGTGATCATTTTCAAGACTTTGTCTTTTATGATACTTTGATAACCGAGCCCACCAGTCTCAGCAAAGTATTTGTCAGATGCGAGCGTGGGTGCCTGAATGCCTCAGTCACGATAAACTATTTCAAAGTTAGGAAACAGAAACCAGAAAAAACCAACCACCGAGAGATGTATGTAAATTGTATCTGTTAGATGCCAGCGTAGGCCACTCACAGCTACTTGTATCCGCTGCTGCCCACACGAGGCCGTTCTTATCATCCAGTTGGGATACGAAAGTATCTGCGAGATGAATTTCTAAGCTAGCTGCCTGTCTGTCAGAGCTGTTACTCTTTCTCCCTTTCTTCAAGTCCCCACATCCCTGGCAATCCGTGAGATACAAAAGCTAATGGCTGGCCATGCCCGAAAAAGAATGCGTAACTTTTTTACCTTGACTTGTCGTGTCTCTGCTTTTCTATCTAAGTATCTTACCTGAGTGGGTCCCACTTGGCATGGGTGTGTGTGTATGTGACTACGTGTACAAACAGCAGGCAAAAATAATCAAGAACTGAGAATCAAGGGAAGGGAAAGACTACGACATGTGGCAATGGTGCTCCTCCTCAGAAGATACCTCTTGCATCCACATCAGGCTTTTGAGCTTACTAAACAGAAATATTAGGTTTAATTCCAACGGAGGATGATGCATCTTAAGATCACATGGTATATAAATACGAAATGTGTACGTTATGGTAAAACAAAGGTGAAAATAGGATATTTTAGGGATTGAAAATATTCGAATAAATTCTTATTTTGCAGCGTTCGAAACCTCTTTCGTTCGTCTCCCTTTATTGCGTAATACTTTTCTTATAGTTTCTGCGCCTTGTGTGTGTGTGTGTTTTTTTCGGGCCTAAACAGAAGAACCTCTCTGAGCAATTTGTTTTGTTCTGCCGGTTTTTGTTTGCCTTTTTCTGTGTATTTCTTTCGTGAGTCAAACGAGTTTGGCGGTCCCCTTCCTTTTTATATTTTCGTGCAGTGCAAAAGTCAAATGTTTTAATTGCTTCATTAGGCACAGCCGAAATGTTGTTTTTTCAGCAGAGACTAGACCAACACAACAACACATGTTGTGTTTTCTGCTTTTCTATGCGCTGCTGATGCACTAAACCCGCATCAATGTCAGACGACAGCAGTGGGTAAACTTCCATTTAATAGTTTTGCGGTAATTACCAACACAAATCGTGGAATTGACGCGGTTCAAAACCAGACGTTGTCTTCTGACATTGACAATGAACCCACCGGTTTCAGCCAAGAAGTGAGCCCCCAGCAAGGCACCACTCACCACTCACAAAAAATCAACAAATTATAGTTTCAGCTGCAAGCTTTATTACGCACTTTTTATTCACCTTTTTTCCATTGAGTACTTTGCACTCTAGCTGAGCAATATGCTTATTTGTTTATTTCTGGCTGAGTAATAATAGAAGGGCGAGATTAGCTTTGAATGTTGTTTAATTTTCCGTGTCTTTCACCTGCAAATCATTACAGTTCCGCTAACTTTATATTTTAGATTTCGAGAATTTGAATTGGAAATATTTTCAGTTCGTAATAACGTCCCACATATCAGTCGCCCCACTTATTCCCTGACCCATGGAACCCCCATCTAACCCCGGCAACGTCAACTTAGATCACTTTATTAAATTAATTTTCGTGTTTCGCTTTTTAACACGAAATGGCAAGGCAGCAAAAACAAAAACAATAATAATGATCTATATCAGATTTTATACAGACGAAAATGTGGGCCTGTGTATGTACTTTTTTTTTTAGTGCTTTTGACTCGTTTCAATGTCACGTTACATTTATATTTGTTGCTTTTGTTAATGTGGTTTTCATTATTGTTTTTGTTGCACAGCTACACGAGAATTTATAGTTTTTGTTGCCCGCTGTTTGTTCTTTTTGGCATTGAGGGTTCTCCTCCCTCAAAGCTAAAAATGTAGATTAGATAGAGAAGCGCATAACTAGGCGTCCTACAAAAGTTTTAATTTGACAGATGAAAAGACATATTTAATTTAAAAAATTTCGAATATTATTACTTTCTCCTGGAGGTACTTATATTATATTTTTGCAATGATAAATTCGGATTGACTAAAAGCTATATACGTGGATTTTAAACTACAACCACACAAAAAGCAACTCAATTATTTTCTATTCCCAATAATTACCATACCATTGTACTTTCGTACTTGATAATTATTCAAATGTTTAGTCATGGGCTTGTGGCGTGTTTTTGTTATTTTTTCGTTCTCCAGGGGGTCTGTGGCGGGGGTCTCTGGTTACTCATCCGATCCAGCCAGCGACTGCTTTCCAATGCAGGAACAGAAATATAAACAGAACTCTAAAACCATAACCAACTCACACTTGTGCTGCGTATTGTTATTATTTTCACTGCCAGTTGAGTATTTTTTTTCTGCTCGATTTCGCTTTTTTGATAAGGTTCGTCCGGGTGGCGTTGGTTTCTGGGTGTACAACTTATTATACTGGCTGTGAACTTTATCGCGAAATTTCATATTATATATTTTTCTATGTAAATGAAACACATGGCCCGAAAAACAAGCTTGAACATTTTAACGGGCTGAATCATCCTGATAAAAAGCCCTACAAATTCGAAAAAAATACATTTTGAATTGTTAGCATTATTACATTTATTTAGTAAATTGAATAATAATTTTCTTGCTTGTTTTTTATATTTTTTTTAAGTAAGTTGGTATTCTCTCAGTAAAAGATCTTAGTTATTCAAAGATTAATTTAAATATAAACGTGGTTTTGCCTCTTTTCCTATCCGTACTATCAAATCGAATATATTTTTGCAGTACGTTTAGGAACGTCAAGCAATAGAAATCAGTTGACGAGGGGATTGGGCGGAATATTGTGGCTGTTCATGCCAGTTGTGCAATTTGGTATGTATTTTCATATAGCCAAACATATTCCGCTGTTCCGTTGCTATTGTTTTACACTTTTTATGCCTGGCAATGCACATTTCATTGTTTTTTGTGCAGTGTCGTAATACCGAAAAACAATAACAAAAATCGGGCAAAAAAGCGAATAAGTGCCATGCAATAGGAGGATTGAGATATCACAAGGGAACGTGACGACGTCGGCGGGGAAAAGGGGACGAGGGGCGGTACGACGACGACGACGACGTCTGACGGCGATGCGATAACTCAGCTTTTGTATGGGAAATTAGAAAATTCCCAAATAATTTCACACATGAGCTGCTGAGCTCGGGAGCAGGAGGCCGAGATACCGAGCAAGATGGAGATGAATCTCCGGATCCGTAAGTCCGTCTCTTCAGAGCGCAACGTTGCCGCTTTTCACGGTGACAAAAGGTGCTAAAGAACCGGACAGACACAAAAGATTATCATCAAGGGGCGATTGTGTGAGTTTGTTTGGCCCTGTGTTCGTGAGGCCGAACGAGGAGGCACATAGCCAACACAAAGAAGGCGCAGCAAGAATCGATTATTATTCCCAAAGAGCTGATGAACGGGCTCAGAAAATATGTCCATAATACAGAAGTGGTCAAAAATATATGTAAGCCTCTCAAGACAGTGGAAATCATGTAACAAGGAGGAAGCTATTTTTTCTAGATATGGCTCCTTTAAAGATCGACATCGCTCTGTTGTAAAATGTTCCATATTCATAGTACATTTTTAAAATATTTTATTATATATTTTTTAGGACAGCTGGCATAGCTAGCATAGGGTAGCCAATACTTTTTCACTTGTTTTTTGTATGTACAGCGAACTATTTTTGTTTTTTTTTGGGAAATCCAATTAGTTTTTCATTATTTCCTGCCGCCAGTTTAATCCAAAAAAATATATAAAATTTGTTAATACTCCAGAAATTGCTAGTTGCTTTAATCGTAGAACGGCTAAACTTCTGGACGCATCTGTGAGTACAACCAGACGATATCGAATGAAGAAAGCGGAGAAGGATGATGATGATGGCTCGGGTTCAGTTTCGCCTTGGTTTTGGTGTTCTGTTACCTGTTTGTGTTTCTGTTTACTGATAACCAGTTGGAACCTGGGACCTGGACTTGGATTGGGATTATGTTTAACGATGGTGATGATGATGATGATGATTATGGGGATGGGTGACGTTGTAAACCGGTTTCTCGGCTTTCTGGGGCCTATCATAAAGGCCCGATCAGGTGCATACATAATAATACTGCTGGCCGCATGAAAATTAAGCGACATTGTTGCAGCAATTTTCATCGTACGTAGCGAGAGAACGCTGCGCCGCAAAGACACAGATACACACCATGCACACAAACTATGAGCTACGCGGCTACAAAGCGGCAAGAAAAAAACAGAAAACAGAAAAAAGCAATACGCTGAAGTTCGGCAACGTTGCCTGTTGGTGGGTTTGCAATTTCGCATCTAACAGATACAATAATACCCCAGAGCCAGCTGTAGACGCTCGTTGTGCTTGTTTTTCTTGTTTTTTCTACACACACACACTCTCTGCTTGTTTTCAATTAGAGTCGAAAAGAGAGAAAAAGAAAAAATACAAGCAGCATTTGCTGCTGTTTTTTTTTTTGTACGACGAGTATCTTGCAAATATACCGCACGTTGTGTAAACATCAGTCGCTGTCGCTGTCGCTGCCTCTGCCGCTGCGCAGTCGACGTCGACGTCGTAGCGAGCGAGCGAGTTTTTGTTTGTGTGTGGTGTAGTTTTGAAAATGTATCTGGGTATGGATTTTGTATCTTTGCCTTTGTGGTCGCTGCTTTTGTAGGTTTTCCTCTTCTTCTTATTGTCTTCGTCTTCTGCTTCTGTTTCTTCTGCCGTTTTTACAGCGACTGCTTTATTTTTATGCTGGC